TGTTATCCAAGCAATTTTTCAGCAGTAATTGCTGTCACTGTCTTAGTATCAGCCAGCAGCGTATTGTGGTTTTGAAGTGTGTAAGTTGCTTGACCTGTATCAACAATTAAAATGAGCGAGACTATCAGCAATCCGAATAGGCTGTCGGCTATTGTTGGTTTCCGTCATGGTTCATGGTTTCAGAAGTTTTATTTTGAAGCCAAAATTGTTGGAGTAATCAAGAAGGAAAAAAATTTTTGCTGAAGTGCATAAATTTGGCTTTTATATTGTCTGAAAGAGCTAAAAAATTTCGCGCTTTTGGTTTTTCCATTTATACTGATTCAGTTGTTCAAATAACGATTGAGATAACCACCAGAATGTTTTATTGTCATTTGCTCCTTTTTTTTTAAACAGTATTTAAGAAAAGTTGAAAGCTAAGTAACCACAGTTTATTTTTTTCTCCATAAATGTAGAGCGAAATGTTTTAATAATGATGGTGAAGATGCAATGGTCGTTGTAATGTTAAATGGTTTTTTTAGTATTTAAAAGAATATAAATGACACGACACCTATTTTGTTGTAATGTTGATTTACAAATATATATTTTATGCAGGTGTGTATGTACAAATTGGCTCTTAAATTTAGACATGCAACTGAAATAATCCAAAGAACAACAGGAATAATTTCCTTTTTATCATTAATGATTAAAATAGTCATTATTAAATGTTTCATTAAAATCAGGATTATTTCTCCTATCCCGTATTACTTGTATTCCTCTGTCCTTCACCAAAAATACAGTTAAGCAGTAAGAAAAAAAAAAAAGACAGTTAGTTCATAGAATTAGTAATAACCGAAGAATTGCCGAAACACTTAAAACCATTAATTTGTGTTTAATAGACCATCGTCAACGGTTAGAAAATGAGGTAAAAGTTTTCGTAAACAACAAAAAAGTATTTACTCATATGATGTATACTGTCAATAAAGTTCATTCTTCCTTCTTACAACTATTCTATCATATCATCATAGGCATATACAGGCACATAAACGCCTACAAATGTCTATTAAATTGAAAGAAATAAAAAAAAGAAAAGGATAAAGAATTTTTGAATAAAACCAGTTGTATATCCGGAAAATTCAAAGACAATTAATCAAGTGCAATTTTATCCTACAAAAAAAAAAAAACACAATATTTTATTTGTTATTCAGCTGATAATAGTCGTAATAAGTAAAACCAAAGTGAACAAAAAATATATATATATTTTGTAAGTTAAGCTCAAAAAAAAAAGGTCCAGTGTCATTGCATTTTTATATTCTACTAGAATTTTGATGATACAAGGTAAAAGAAGTTTTTTTTTTGAGTTTTTTTTCACCCTTAAATAAAAGTTTATAATTTGTGAAAAAAACATTATTTAGGAGATCGAGGGCGAAAGTTAAAAACTATCAATATTTCATTGAATTGTTGATAAATATTGGCTTTGCTAATTACTGTTGATATATTGCTAAACGTTCTTCGTCCCCTTTTTGCCTTCTTGTGGTCAACACCACTGGAAACAAAACTGGGAAACAATTGTCCGTTTATCGTATTTTCATCGGAAAAAGCGAAACGACAACTAAAAAAAACAGATACATTGATTCAAATGTACAACTAACTTCCATTTCTTTCTGTTGCAGTACAATTCTTTGGGCATTAGTAACGTCTATTTATGGTACTATAAAAGAAAACCAAAGATAGGAGAAGCAAAATGAGGAGGACAAAATGGGAGCAATAAAAAAGAAAGAAACAAAGAAACAAACGGGAAAAACAAATATCTGAAATAATTGAAAAACAAAAAAAAATATTTTCTGTCGGCTACTGTTGGTTTGTCGACTACTGCTGTATAAATTTTAAAAATTTTCCTATATGATGCTGTAAAGCAGAACAAAACAAAACAAGAAAAAAAAAAGAAGAAGAAAAAGACTGTAGACAGGTTCAAAAAAACTATTGGACAAATATCTAGCAACCTTTAAAAAATCTGTGAAAATTTGAAATGTTGTCATGTCTTTTAGTTTTCCCCAATTTCTTTCCTTTTTTTTTTTTTTTTTTTTTT